ACTGCTATTTGCGGACGACGCTAAGATCTGGAGAACTGTAACACATCCTGAGGATTATATAGCACTCAAACGATCGATGCAGCCCACTGATGGTCAATCGCCAATTACATCGAGTTCAACGTTTTCAAATGCAGACTTATTTCTGTGCGGCATAAGACGCGTTTCTCCTATGTTCTGGGGAACCAAATACTACCGCATGCCACTGAAGAAGTGGATCAGGGAGTTATGGTACAGGAGGAAGTAGGATGTTCCACGCACTGTACCAGAGAACCATCCATGGCTCTATAGCAAGTTGGACTACTTTGACGTGTTTTCGGGTAGTTCGAAAAAGCACGCTTGCTATCAGCGCTCATTCGGCCACACACGGAGTACGCCGTTCAAGTATGGAATCCATGGATAACCCGCGACAGGAAGGCTCTAGAACGTCCGCAGAGGCTGGCAACGAAATTGGTAAAAGGTCTATATAACAAGACATACTCCGGAAGACTGGAGATATTGGGACTCTACTCATCCCAATACCGCCGACTTCGAGGGGACCTAATATTCGAAATATCACGTACTGCATCAACCCAACCCCCCTTGCCGTTCTCTGCTGATTTTATCTCATAATGATCACCTCAGGGGACATCCACTAAAGGTGAAGACCCAGAACAACCACCTTGATTGCCGGCATCACTCATTTGCAGTTAGAGTTTGCGGCGTATGAAATTCTCTCCCATCTGATGTAGTGTGTGCTCCTACAATTGAACTATTTAAATCGCAACTTGATAAAGCATTGGAACACTTAAAATTTCAACATCCGTGAGTGATCACACACATTATTATCATTGTTATTTTATCTTTGTGAAGTTATTCAAAACATTCTGTAAAAATTGTATGGGGCATGATAAGCTTTAGCTTTATTAAATCGCCCATAATAAAACTTTGACTATGACTTATTTCACTGAAAGAATAACGGCACAAACAATTTTCACGGGGGTGAAACAGATTATTGATGACACAAAGAAAAGGCCCAAGTTAAACCGGGGGACATAATCGTAGAGCCTAGGTTTTCAACAGAGTATAAAACATTGACCGTATTGCTGGTTAAATTGTGAATCCGTTAATATCTAACAGTTCTCCTATACGGCACAAAAGCGGTGCATATTACCTGACAATTCACGCATGTGCCATCGTCCACTGTCCACATTTTTGGACCATTCCACTTGGACTGTGCGTAATCCACACACAGACCCGGATCCGTTGTCCAGAAATTCTTTGGTCACCGTATTGAACTGTCTCGGGTCTCGTCCGAAGCGTAGCGCAACTTCCGCATGCCCGTATTCAGCGCGCCAAACACGGGGCCATTCGGGCCACGGGTTTTCCTCCTCATCTCGATGAGGTGGTGGTGGTGGTAGGATTTCCAATGTGTGAACACTCTTGGCACCCTGAATAGGAGAAAGCATGAAAATGTAGCCAGTAGAAATTGGTGTCGGTTGTTGGTTTGCTTTGGCTGTGAACCGGAATACTACGAGCGAATTCACTGCCTGACTGTATAGCCAGATAAGGTTCAAAAGGAGCGAATATAATCATTGCACCGTGGGAAGAGTAAGTTTCTAGGCTAGACAGATGACATTTACGGGAGAAAATCGAGTAGTCGATTGCATATTTCGTTGATAGATAAATTCTTACCTCATGTGTTAATGATATTGATCGAATGTGAATCATGTTATAGAAATCGGGGCTGAGCTTCGCAGTCTATTAGGACTAGATAAATTTAAGTAGATCTGGGATTACGTTCGGGTTGTGGTATAAATGGAACTCCAGGTGATGTGTTTGTGTCTGTGTGTATTTCCATTGACTAAAACATTACGCTTGTCTTTAATGTTATGAGATCTATATTTTCAACTGTCTCGGGTGAGCGAGAGAGTGAGGAAGAATAGCTAATAACTCGATCAGAAAAGTTAGGTAAAAATCCAAACGTCTATTATCGCTTAAACGTTTGTATCAGTTCCGGCTAACTACTGTATCCGTGTAAACCACTTAAATATATTTGTATAGTAATCATGCCGTAGAAACAAATCAGTGTTTCTCTACATATTGAGATTTTCCTCACTGTGGCCGCATGTAGTAAGCCGTGCGCACACACACACACACACACACACACACACACACACGTGACTTTAGGCGTGCTAAACCTGCAACAGTCTGGAAACAGGACAATTTTGGGTATGGTCATTTAAGCCATGAATTAGATCAGGTTGTGAGATCGAGTCTCATCCAGAATGCTGACCAACTGGTGGTTTAACCATTTGGGCTAATTCAAATATGGTTAATTTTGTTTGATAACCCGGTAATTTGACAACGACTCAATGGTTCGAGGCTTGATTTTAAAAAAATTCAAGATTTTATCAAATAGGTCTCCTTTGAGCGTTTTTATGCCCCGGATAAAGGAGATCCAATGTTCCAATTTTCACCATTTCAATAAGTCAACTGAACAGATTCGAGATACCATTTAAAGCCTGTGCTCGAATCGGAGCGATAACAGATGTTTAGCAGTTCGCGTCCCATTTGTCCAGTAGACGAAGAAGGTTACAGTGAATCCACAGAGGTGGTCTTAATTGGTACTATTGATCAGTCCGATGTGTATAAATATGCTGATTCAGAGTCATTTGTGTGATGTTTCATTTTGTTTTTGTTTGTTTTGTTTTTTCCACACAAAAATGATACCATCAATATCGTTCCCCGGAGGCTGTGTTTTATTGGTCGGTGTGGTACACACCTAACACTAACTACACTGAGGGATAAAGGTGAATGCTGTGCACCGGTTCTCTCAATCTCCCTTTCTTTCCCTCCTTCCCTCCAGCAATACACGACAACAACAACAACAACAACAACAACAACAACAACAACAACAACAACAACAACAACAACAAGAACACGCGCAGACACAGTCCGGTGCAGCAGACAATCGGATGGATATGCGTAGGCTAACCCGACGTGAATTATTACCGGCACACAATGAAATCACGTGAAAGTAGATGAAAGTTATTGTGTGTGAGAGAGAGGAGAGTGTGGGGGGGGGGATGGAGTAAATACTGTCCAGTGCATATAGTTTGTCAGTGTGGATGAAAGATGTCATCAGTTGATTAGGATTCCGGAAGATGTCTGTTTTGTTCATTCACGACCTTGTTCGGATAAGTTTGATCGGGTTCCATGAATAGAATCAAGTGCACGTGGCTGATTCCATTTCAGCATACTGGTTAGTTATCAGTATTTAACGACTATCACACTCAACTATCCATTAGGGCTGATTAGTAATCACAATTGTCCCTGATCCCCTCTCATTCCACACGTTTGATTATCTATTCAGTTTGACCAACGAACGACCAAGTCCACCAATACTTTACTGACGCACTACCTCAGTCTGTTGACCAAGCTGAGCACATGCTATGAACTTTCAAATTTTATACGGTTTGCACAACAAAGTCCCAGAAGCAATATTTCTGTGTCGAAGCCCACAGAGAATGGCACGTTCTTAGTTAGTTAACTTCTTTGTTAAGTATTCTGCATGCGGCGAACAGTGTAGGTGTTCATTGCGGCAGCAAGTCAAAATCCTACTTATTGGCAGTCACAACAGGTAACAACGGACTGTTTGTTCAATGTGAGTGGCGGTGTGGCAATGGTTTAGTCGCTGTCACTGATGTGCTTTGGGTTCTATGGTCCTCGGTTCGCAACCCGCCACCGCCACCCAACTTTAGTGGTAGGCAGCGTTATTGTCATGCCCGTTCAATATCACGCTTAACCAATCGAGGCCTTATGTGGATCGTCAATGCAAGCCGCCGGGGTCTAGATTGCCGGTTCCCACTACTGAACAGCAGGTCCGCGGGCTTATGGGGTATAACCCCGCTGCTGTTCATCACACACCTAGGTGTGTAATTAAAAAATCAGGTTTGAAACCACTCACGGGGCAATCAGCATTGTATGGATCGAGTGCTCTGGAGTGCTCGTACCGGGCACTATCCCCAACCAGCTACCGATGAAACTGTAGTACACACATAACAAGTTTTCACTTTTAGTCATTTGCGTGTGTGCTCCTTCTCTCTTGTTCGTGATATTCCGGTAAAGCAATATGGAGTTATGTGGTTCGTCGTATTTGCAAACGTTTTAACCAGCTATCACTCACAGAGAAATTGTACCACACAAACGGACATACAAGCACGATTGAGGACACAGTGTCCGAAGTGGATATTCTGCAAAAAATACAGCAATTTGTGGGGGATTTTCGATAAGTAAACTATGATCAATGAAGGATGAATGAGACGAGTGCGCAAAGTACGAGGTGTGAAATTATACAAAGTCACGTTTGGCTTTTCCGTTTCGAACTGACACGTAGGCAAATTTGGGGAAATTTCATTTGTTTAGTTTCCGCTAAGAAAGATTGAACAACTGATTGCTGATCAGCAAGATGACTGAGTTTATGCGATAAATATATCGGTTTAGCTGCATTGTGGTATCGTCCACCTAGTGAAACACTACTCGCGACTTCACTGAAATAAACAAGGTTTTATTCGTTTAGTTTAGGTATTCAACATGAAGAAGCTGTTTAGAGTGCATCTCAATAGAATGCATATTCGAACAGATTAGCCCAAAAGTAACCAGGATGGTGGCGATGGTCAGGTGAATAAGGTTACAAAATTAGCGACCTGGAGATCTTGAGTTCGAACCCTCACTACCACCACCCATCTCTGTTTCTGTATTTCCCTCCGGCAGCCTTCGAATGGCTGTGACCCACCTTCTTGACTGTAAAGTTGCATGCTCAAGAACAAAAGGAAAATGAAAAAATGAAAATAGTCACCCCCCACCCCTTAGACAAAAATCGCAATAACATACTGACTGCTAATAAATAGCATGAACGCGTCTAAATATAAATTCGGTATAAGAAGAGTAGAAAAAGAATACAAGAATGTAGTAAAATGTAAAATGTACAGATTAATTTACTTGAAACCGTTCACTGATGTGTTTCAAAAATGTTTTAAAAATCCATCTCTGTGTTTGAGGGCGAAAAGTGAAGCCAATATCGGTACTAAATTTCGTCCAACTGGTCCCACCTCTTGTCTGCAGTATCTTTCTTATCCGGCTTTATGGTAGCCTTCCCTTTTCTTCGGTTGTCATACATCCCCAAAACCCATACAAACTCCGATGGTCTTCCACGTCCCTATTTCCATTTGTTCACAACAGTTTCACCTATTCCCACAATTCTGGACGGACAACCGAGCTGCTGGTTTAGGGAAAGCAGTTTGTAAGAACACCATAAGAATTTCCCGGGACAAAATACGCTATAAACTCCACAAGAAAAGATAGAGCGATATTTAAAACTTCTCAAAGATGCACAAAATTGTTTGAACATATAAAAAAATTAATGTAATCAAGTATTCGATTTTTTTATTATACCTTTCAGGGGACAAATTCTCATTTAAAGTTATTCAGCTAGACAACGTAATTAAAAAAAGGTTTCCCTGGAGGTCACTGTCGATCAGGTGGTCTACCGCTAGTATGATATTCCGTTTTGATTCAATGAAACGAACCTCCTTGAATGTCTTAAACATTCCATATGTTTTTGTAATCATACACTCAACACACTGTATCACCCTGATCGATCGAATCCAGATCGCATGTTATTATTTTATTGTCATCACGACTATGGCCAGCCGTTTGCAATTCAGTTGAACAGGGCAATATGGGAATGTGCAAAGTTTGTGCATTGAAAGATTTGTGTTCAATAAATTTCTGTATGCTGAATAAAATCAACAAGGGGGGTGGGTGGGTGGGTGGGTTTGTAGGACATATTTTGCGTGGCTCTCAAACCCCCTAACCCTAAACACTACGTTTTCGTTCAGTATTCGTTACGCTCAAAATGCATTCTGTATTTCCTCGAAGCTAAGGTCGTTCGGTCGGTCGGTTGAGACTACTGAATGTTAAATCGAAAATCCGATAAAACAACGTATCTGTAATCCCAGAATATGCCGATTATGACATAAGAACACACGTTTAGAGACGAGCAATTGCTTTCATTGATTCATCTTCTAGTCTGTATAGATCATATGAGAAAATAACATGTTAAACAAGGATAGACATACTATACTTCAAAAGTCACAGTGATTGGTTGAAAGGGAAGGGATGTGGGGTAACGTGTTTCACACCACCAGGTCATCACCACACTGCAATCAGCTTTGTGATGCGTAATCCGTGCGATCAATCTTCGGTCACAACAGTTGAATAGCATCAGCCAATCTCTTTAGTGCATATAGACTGGGTTTGAATAAACGAATGCTGATTGCTTCAGTAGGATGTGGAGACGCAGCGACGTATATGCATGAGATGGTACTCCATGGATAACCTTGACGACTGATTCAGGCTTCATTTGGTGACCTGAGTCTGCTAGGTGAGCGAGAACAGTATTTGCTGTGATACCTTTTCCACCGTGGTAAAGCCAGCGTAGATAAAGCTTTCTACTCCGTTGGGGCAGTTGCTTCACCGTTCGGCCAATGTACGTTGAGCTACAAACGCAGCAGGTAAACTATCATTACTAGATGTTCTTATTATTGGTAAGCCTGTGAATACGCATGACAACCTGGTTGCATTTAAGGTTCCTCTCAAAGCAAGCGCTAAACGTCTCCTAATCAGATCAGACAGCTTGTGTCCTTTGAATAGCAGTTTGATAAAAAGCTTCTTCTTCGGAGCTTCCTGAACGGGCTCGTGTTTCAGTCTTTCTTCCGGGTTTCTTGTGATGAACCTTTCAGGCTATCCGTTTCCCCTGAGAATGCTTTCAATCTGATCAAGTTCATATGCGAACGTGGACTCGGAGCATATTTTTCGTGCATGCGAGACAAGCTTTTAATAAGGTTTCTCTTTTGTTTAAGTGGTAAGAAACTGTGAAAATTGGTGTACTATCCAGTCCAAATTTCTTTTCTGCATCCCCTACTTTCCAGCAGTCCATCAGTTGTCCCGGTGTGCCCAAAAGGGATTGTCTCGTGCCATTCACTTGACGTGACCGAAGATCGATCACACGGATTACGCATCACAAAGCTGATTGCAGTGTTGTGGTGACCTGGTGGTGTGAAACACGTCATCCCATATCTCTTTCCCTCCCAACCAATCACCGTGACTCTTGAAGGACAGTATGTCTATCGTCGTTTAACAAGCTATTTCCTTATATGATCTATACAGACTAGAAGATGAATCAATGAAAGCAATTGCTCGTCTCTGAACGTGTGTTCTCACGTATATATGTAATAATAAATTTACACAGCAGTTCATCCAACTACGATCAGTCTCAGAGATCAACAAAATTGGACAACGGTTAGCAATAATTTTGTAAAGAATAGTGTTGTATTGCCCGATTGCACCGGGTATTAATGATGGCCTCATACTTTAACGATTTCCACCATTCCTAATCCTGTGACCGATTAACGTTCTCTGCCATGCACAACTGACAAGAGTAAACTCGTCACCATCATTACACGTGATCCTGATAATTTAATCCATTATCAGGGGAAGAACGATTCCCTTCAACCCGATCTGTCTGTCATCTTACCTGACGCAGTGAAGTCGCAAGGCAATCGACTCCCGTGTCCCCTCCACCGAGAACCACCACGCGTTTGTCCTTGGCCAGCGCGTTTAATACGGTCTCATCTGGATGCTCGGAATGACGGGAGTCCGGTGCGTGTTTGAGTTTTCGATGCTGTTCTCGTTGCCAACGTTCCAGGAAACTCATGGCAAAGTGAATGCCATTCAGATGACGCCCTAAACGTGTTCATAGCGATTTGAAAAACAATGAAAAAAAAACAAACAGAAAACGATAAGGTAAAGTTTAGATAATATTGACCAGTTCACAGGGAGTCGCGGGGAGGGATGAAATTGGGGATGACCTCAACCACATGAGTTCCAATGTGCACGGGATGGACGATGCACAACTGCGAACTATAAACTACTACCGGATCACGGATAAAAAAGAACGAGGTCATATGGATCCACGTTGGGATGGATACACATTTCGGATAGGAAGCAAAAACACATCCAGTCGAACACCTCGTAAAAACAAACTCCGATCCTCATATAATTAGAGTAAATGCAAAAGGATGGCGGATAGATAAGAAGAGAACAGGCGGAAGTTCTGAAGGAATGGAATTCATTTGAAGAACATTTAGAAGACAAGAGAACAAAACTAGTTTTTTGTTCTCCCCTCACAGTCCAACACAACAGCATGCCGTCCACTCATGCAAATCTTCTGAGTATGGAGGATTTTCGAGCGGTTAGAGTTTCAAATGGAAACAGATGAATGGGAGCAACAGAAAGTGGGTGAGAGGTGGGGTGGGGTGGAGAGGACAGGTTGCGGCGACTGGAGACGAGAAACAATAGACGAAATGAAACGAGTCAAAAAAAGAGAACGACAGACGAAATCATGAAGAAGAAGAAGAAGACGGAAGTAGGCGCAGTAAACTAGGGTTTGGTGGCAAGAGGTTATTGTTGATTTGTGAGCGTGAATAAAAACAGCATGGAAAACAGAGGGAGAACATACGTGGTGAGAAGTTGTTGATTCGAAAACTGCGAAAATATATACACACATACAAATGGGTGGGAAAGAAACAGCCACTTCTTAGTGTGCTCAGGATGAATAATTTATTGGAAAATAGGACGTGCGAGAGAACAAAAAATGTGTCTAAATTCTGTTTTAATTGTAGATTCCGTTACATTGACTTTGTCACGTTGAAACTTGGCTTTGCCAACTGATTTTTGTGGAAATGAAAAGAGGTTTCGCTTACTTTTACCATCTTAGTCCTCGTGTTTCGAAAGTTATTGACTGGGGGCAACATGAACTTTACACGGATACCACAAACATTTCTACACAATCCTTTCTCGTCTAATGTTCAGCTGCGTTCTAGTCATTGCTCCTACCTGGTTCCTGAAGAAGTGCAACCACGTTCGCGGTGTTTTCCCCGATATCATCAGTGCAAATAATTGAATGGGATTTGCACGTTCCCGGTTAGTGATGTGCAAAACCTAATTGAGTGGCGAACTGGGGAGACTAACGAGGCACAAGATCGTCTTCCGTGGTCCATGGTGTGATCATCATTCAGCACAACTAAGACCGGTAAGGTTTATCAGAACACACAAACGTATGCAAACCCTAGATATCATAAAACTGTGCTGCCCTAGTTTCAGAAGTGCATTTGACACGTATAATATGAAATGTTGACACTCACAAAACGGCAGTTACTGTGCCGGAGTCATGCGATATTCAACAGGAGGCGTGTGGGGGGGGGAGAGATTAGATGTTTTTTGTAGTTAGGATAGCGAATTTAGTACGCGATGTTTTGGGTCAGAAACGTTCACGAGCATCTTTGGCCATCAGCTGATGGAACAACTGGCATTGTATATTAAATCAGAAATTGGTGGCGGCGCAGTAGTCCGTGTACTTGGGACCCTGTGGTCCGAGGTTCGAGCCCCACCACTGTCACGGTGATGGGAGGTAGCTTTGCTGCTGTCCGGTTCAGTAGCACCTGGTGGGGCCTTATGTGGTTCGCCAATTCAAAATCAACGGGGCTCAGATTACCGGTTTTCATCACTGAACAGCACATCTTCGTGACTATGGGGCTCGCCCCGTCTGTTGTTCATCACACCAAGGTG